GCTGCTGGTAACCCAGCATGAGTAGATCAGGTTCTGCTTGGAAGAAAAAATGAAAAAAAATAAAAAGAGGAAGAAGGGAAGGCCGGGTTCTGCTCGAAAAAAAAAAGAGGAAGAAAGCGGAAAGGGTAAATTTTTAATCACATTTTTAAAATCTTTTGGTTATCCTTGGTTATGTGGAGTGCACATTTGGGTGTTGAATCTGGGTATGTACCAATCATGGTCCTTGCTTTTTATACTTTAATTCAAGGATCCATCAAATTCAACTCCAAATTGATTTGATAACTTTAGTTGTATGATAATTCAAGGTCAATACTATAATATAAAAATTGTTAAAATTTTCAATAAATACCAAATAAATATCTAATAGGTTTTTTAAAACTTTTTAAAATATCAAATAAATATCAAATGAAATGAATCTCTTAAAAAATATTCATTAAAGAAGTTGAAACCCAATTAAAATAAATTAAAGTCCTTTTAAATTTTTTTGTAACACAATAAAAATAATTCCTTATTAGATTAATTTTTCATATTATAATACTTTAATTATATCAAATTTCTTACCAATTGTTTTCAAATTACAACTTAATTATTATATAATAATCTCACTTTTATATTTATATATTATTAAAGTTGAAAACAATTTAACAAAATATATAACCTAAGATTCACTTTAATTATATAATGTATTACGAGTATGTATATATTGTATTATATTCCTAATGGATTTTGCAAATTGATTTTTATTTATTCAATTATTTTTGGATAAATTTATTTCTTAATAATAATAATAATAATTAAGATATAAATAATTTTGGATAAATATTTTTCTTAACAATAATTACTAAAATATTAAGAATTATAAATGGTTAAAAATTGTAATGTACAATTGATATGTTTCAATTTGATAATGAATATATCAACTTGAAAGATTAATTGAAAAGTATGAAATGAGAGCACCAAAGCATAAGTAAAAACACCTATAAAAAACTTAAAAATAAAAAAGAACATCTTTTGGAAACCTAAATATATTTTGATATTCTCATTATCAAAGTCTAAACTATATATAAGAGAGTGATTAAAAAATAATATTATAGGAGTATAAGGGGGGAATTAAATTCAATTGATCCATCAACTTCTATTTCAATTTCAATATTATATTATAAGAATTGTTAAAATCTTAAATAAATACTAAATAAATATTAAATAAATCTTTTAAAACCTTTCTAAAACATCAAATAAATATCAAATGAACTTCTTAAAAAATATTCATTAAAGAAATAAATTAATACCCCTTTAGATTTCTTAATGAACACAATACAAATTATCTCTTATTAGATTAATTCTTCGTATAATAATTAGACTT